GATTTAGGCCCTGTGGAAGCACTCCCACAGCAAGGCCACATTATTCTGTCCGCACCGTTTCTACAATGGCCCGTGTGGGGTCCTACCCCATCATTCTTGTATGGAGATGTTTGGCATGCTTTCCCTATCAACAGTGAGAAAACCCATTTGGAAGTATATGTGGGAGGAAGAGAGAGCCTGAAGTTGGCACGCATCTGTCTCTCCACCCTGCGACTGCTAGCTTGTCAAAGCAGGCAGCTTGGTGGAGCTCCCACTTAGCTGAAGGAAGCCCTGAGCAGAGCTGAACAGTGGTCAGGACCACACTGTCATCCACAATTGTTTTTTAGGTCCTGATTTTTCTCTTAGCTCCAAGAGCATCTCTCAAAGTAGGTCCATATAGTTACACTTGGTCTGTAAAGGTAATGGAGTTCAGTGGCACTTGTAATGAGGAGCTTCTGATTTTATGGGAAAGCTGGCACTAAGCTCGGGAGAGTGGAGGGGTTTCTGGCGGTGATGATGGTCCATGTGTGTGGTGGGCAGTTTCTTCCCTGCCTAGCTTCTCAGGGTGCACAAAAACCTATGGAAAAATGAGCCCAAGTGATGAAATAATAGTCTAAGGACAGAGATGGTATCTTGATTTGGGACTCAGGGCCAGCAAATGGGAAAGGAAAATCAAAGCGCCTGAAGTTTCTCATGCAGTTTTGTACAGAAATGGAACATTTCCTTTAAGCCTCTGTAAATGGGTACATAGTGGCTGGAAAACGAATGAAGATGGGAAAGGTGTCCAAAGGCCAAAGCAGGGGAGAAATGAACCTCTTCACCCTCCTTTTAAGTCCAGAAAGGCAAAGGAAGGGAGAGGATGTTGTTAGAGACGGCCAGGCTAGGCTGGCCGTGAGTCCTGTGCCATGCAGGAGCTAATTCCCCTCTCCACACACCATCCAGCCTGTAAGATGTTTTAAAATTAGAAAGCTTAATTCATCTCTAATCATTAAAAACTAGAGCAGCTCCCAGCTGCCTCATTCTACTGCCTGGCCTCTCTCTCTGTCACGTAAGCCCAAGTGCTGGAAGCTGCACCTGAGTGCCAGCAGGAGCCCTCTTCTCCACTTTGTTTCGATGCCCAGCACTAATTGCTCCGTACAAGCCTCCTCCTGCATTTCAAACTGTTCCAAGATAGCGCAGAGCACTTGAGTGAGAGCAGTGCTTCAAGCGCTTTGGGGAGCGCCTCAGTGTTATATAAGGTCTTGAAAGATAAATACTGCGAGATCACTTCCGCAGGAGCAAAGCCCCTGCCATCAGCACTGCCCGCGTGAGCTCCTGCCACTGTCCGTGTTATAATCCAGAGCTAAGGGTAGTGGACCCTGAGGCTGCATAACAAACAGCCATGTGATCTTATTGTGTCTTTATCCCCGCACTGGCACTTTAGCAGAGAGGAGCTGACAACAGAGCTTAGTGTGCTTGGGTACCTGAAAAAGGATCCTGCGAGTATAACTACATGGTTCAGTATTTTGACTTGAGTTGCATTTGGGTATAAATGACTTGCCCGAATTTGCCATATTGGTACCAAAGGGAGAGGGGAACCCAGCTGCGGGAATATTCCTGGAAAGTAGTAAGATAGGTGACAGCAGCCATGACTCGAAACCAGTGCATGGCTGGAAAAAAAGCGTGCGCATGGGGTGGGTTATGCCAGTGTGCGTGACTAGGCAATAGAGCCTTGCACTGGGAAGTGGAACATCAAGATGTTTAGCAAGGAAAGAAACCTTCTGCTCCAGCGGCTGACCCGACTGTTTCTTTTCTTCAGTGCTGTAGCACCAGATTGACATGATAACATTTTACGGGCAGAATAAAACCCCCAGGATGCAGGTTTAATGTCTGCTATTATTTTACAAGATGCCCTACCCACTTGCAGCAAGGGAGCAGTCTGTGTACTTCCGGGGGGTGAAGTACACGTTGACTACAAATGTCAGGGGAAACAACTGCTCCCACAGGAATCTAGTGTGATCCACAGCAACTTTTCTAGTTGTCTTGCAAAGAGGAAGGTGGCATTAAAAGCTGTGCAAATTCTGGCTGAGGCTGTGCAAGGAACAGCTACTGTTTGCTACGTTAGCATATCAACTTCAGCAAGTCAGAGCCTGGGAGTCTCTTGTTCTCAATGCTTTGTAGGGAGGAGACAGAAAGCTGAGTTTGGAATGACACAAGCTGCAACTGAGATGCCAGGGCCAAAGTGAAAAGTTGTGGGACGCGTCTAGAGGTTCAGCACTTGGCTCATGCTGCACCAGTACAGGATTCAAGCTGTCGGGCTTCTTGAGCAGTTTGACCTAGCACTTAGTAGGGCTGCTCTAACACTGGGGAAGATGAAGGATACAAATAGGAGGCAGGAATCCTTTGTTTCAATGCAAAGTGGCACATGCACTTGCTGGATTGCCTACACCAGTGGTTTTCAACCTTTTATTTGGAGACCCCTAAATAATTTCAAATGGAGATGTGGATGCCTCTGAGTTGTAAGTGCAGGTATTCACATATTCTTGATTGATCAGTCATCTTTTGCAGGTCTCTTAGACACAGTCTGCAGGGGCTTGCAGACCACAGGCCTCCACTATTATGCTGCCTAGTGAACAACCCAGAGAGGCATTTCCCCAGCATGCAGCAAGGTGGGCTGCATGCAGCTTACCTATCCAGGACAAGGCAGAGCATGGTTGCTACAGCAGAAAGTCTGCAGAGCACTTGCACTCCACATTGCTCCTAGCTTGCTTTAAAATACAACCTGTGTCCTTCTAGACTTGTGCTGTTACATAAGATAGCACCACCTCCACTGCAGCTGTGCCACCGAAGGAAATATTTGGTGTGGACTCACTGCCCGCTCCCTCCACTGATAGCAGAGGGGAGAATCTGAAAAGGCAGCTGGGTTTTAAACAAATAGCTCCAGGGCAGGACTGTCCCTGCAGTGTCTGCTACCCTGAATGTACTATTCCACTGATATGCGCAGAATGAATTTTCCCCAGAGGGCATGGGCTGGTTATGTAACTCGGCAGCATCATGTTAGCACAGCACGAGTGATCACAGATGGCAGCAGCAGAAGCAAAACACCGACCGCTCGGGAGCTGCGCGTTGCAACTGCTTCCATAATGTCTCCAGCACACGCAGGAGAAGATGGCCACCTCTTCCCCTTCCTGAGCAAAAGAGCTTAAGCACCACAGGTAGCTAGTGACCCTAGGAGCAGTTGGTGAGACTGCTAAAACACCTCTCCAGGTTGCCACCGAGCCTCTCAGGTTGATGTACTGGGGTTCTGCTGTCACCACGTTTCTGTTTTTAGGTCCCAGAAAACGTATATCCTACGGTCTTCCTTAAGAGGCTTTGCTTTCAATGGCAAACCTAAAAGTGGATTTGTTGCACAAACAGCAGCCTTGTGGAGATGGCCGCTTGCTAATACGGGCTGGCAGGAAATGCCCCAAATAACGTACTTCTCTGGGTACATTCCAAACCGGTGCATTTTCAGAAAGGGGAGGGACGGCACATCCCTCTTACACAATCTCGGCAATGCTCCTTTCAGGTCAACTGAACCAGGAGCAAGGAAGTTGGGATCAGGGCTTCCCAGGGCCATTGGTTTTGAGTTGCTTCTTACGGCTGTAATTTTCAGTTTTACCCAAGGGTTTGGCTGGGACAACCCCTAGCTACAGGATGTCTAAGCCAGGAAGGCAGGCTTCTCACTGCAGGCCAGTAGCCTTGATTACCACACTGCTCAGCTCTACAGGTCTTGCAGCCACGTCCCTTATTAAAACTGAGCATGGCTGGAGAAAGCAGAGCTTCCACTCTGATATTCAGAGTTACTGGATGTTTCCTCAAACTACAAGCCTAGAAGGATGCAAGGTCTATTTTAAAACGAGCTGGGAGCAACGTGTTGGGAGTGCAAGCGTTCTGCAAACTTCCTGCTTGCGAGGGCTTGCATGTGTCAAGTGTGCCCGAGACAGGAGCTCTCTCCTGGCATTGCACAAGTGGTGTCTCTCACAAAGAGGAAGTCCCTTATTTAGCATGGAAATGAAACAAGACCAACTACATTCCTTCTCGGTGAAAGCAAGTGAAAAATAAGAGTGTGCATTTCAAGCTCCCCTGTCACTTTATCCAGTGCATTCCAGAGCAGGCTGCACAGCTGGTTTGGTGCTTCAGTAGGAAAAAGATTTTGGACAAATAACTCAACATTATAACAGGTGGGTGTATAATGCAGCTGGAAGCGGGTGACGGCTTCAAAGGTTCGTAAGACCAAGCTAAGATTGAGATAAGCGCTGAGGGTACCTGGATGTGGAAGGAGGATGAAGTGGATAAGAGATGTTCACTTTAAAACACCCTGGTGAATGGAACGTAGGTCTCCGAGCGCAGGGAGCCTTCAGTGCGTCACCTCAAGCAGTCTTTGAATGTGGGGGGATTCTCAGATTGCTCACCCTCTGGCTGCAGGTAGAGGCCACCTGCTCTCCCATACAAAGATAGCTGCCTACCACAGCCTTCCAGCTTGTTGAAACTAGTCTCAACATGCGGCTTGATAAGGTAATGAATGAGATGATATAACTTGGCTTCCTACAACAGCAAGGGACTGGACTCCTCCCGGGAGTGATATATCAGTAAGTGAAACACTAAGTAGATACTGCCAAGGTTGAACCTGTCTTTTCATGCATGCATCTTGATACAGGGGGGTGTGATTCTTTCCCTGTAGGACCCCTGGAAAAAGCAGAGTGGAGATTTTTGTCCTAGTTGCTTAGCGAGTAGTCCCTTGACTCGCTCACTAGACAGTCACCAATTGCTCGGTGAGGGAGGGAGGGAGCCTCTGACTCATTCTGTTTTCCAGCCCCTATTTCTAGTTTTCTTTTAACTAGAGAAGGTGGAAGAAACTGCTCAGGAAGTTGTTCTCGGGATGAGCCAGTACAGAAAGAGCTCTGGGAACAGAAAAGGCTGCCCTGTCCCAATGCACAGAAAAGCTAACAGGAAGGGTGGTGCAGTGGAGGAGGAGGTGTCACAAACTGCAGAGCACTTACCCAACTGCAAAACACGACACCACTTTGCCCTGAATTTTAAGCAGCACATGTCACCTGGTCCATCCTGGTTTCAAGCTCGAAGGCATCAGGTCGATCCTGTGGGTTAGCAGCCAACATGTCTTTCAAGAGCTGTTTGATCCCCTCAGACATGGAAGTCCTGCGTTTCTGAGGGATATGCAGCTCCATCTTTGGGTTTTCTAGCAGCGCTTCCCCAACAGGCACAATCTCTGTCCCCTGCTTGATGTAGGTCCCCAGCAGCTCCTTCTTGGTCTCTGCGTCGATGAACGTTATCCTCTCAATCATGGCCCAGATGATGATGCCCAGGGCAAAGATGTCCGCCTTGGCTGTGTAGTGCCCCTCCCAGACCTCGGGGGCCATGTAGAAGTCAGAGCCGCAGGCTGACGACAGCCAGTACTTGTTCACATTCACATTTTTGTTGTCGTTCCCGCCCTCCTTGCCCCGAGCGGTCAGACCAGCACAGACCTTGCTGAGTCCAAAGTCTGCCACCTTGAGAACAGGAGCACCAGATTTCTCCGTGATCAGGATGTTGTCTGGCTTCAAGTCTCTGTGCACAATATGGTTCTTGTGCAGGAAGGCGATGGCACTGGTCAGCTGGAGCATGAAGCTCTTGTTGGTGGCTGGGTCCGGTCTCCGGGAGAGGATGTACTGATTGAGATCGCCCCCTTCGCAGAACTCCATGACGAACCAGAGATAGCAGGGCTCCTCGGCATAGCCCAGGATTCTCTCACCTGGGAGGCACAAGACGGGGGGAGGGATGTTAGACACAGAGATCAGCAACAGCAGGACAGTCATGTTGAGTGTATAAGGAGGTCTCCGAAGGCTTAAGCCAAAAGCCACGGGTAAGGTTCTGCTGTTAGAATATACTCAGCTTTGCATATCTAAGGGACAGAAAAGCATCTGGCGCACACTCCCTTAGCTGTGTGCACTCTGCTACGTAACCGGAGTCAGTAAGGGCTTGTCTGTCTGTTGACCCTGATTAGATGGCAGCCAAGAAAGAAAAAAAATATTTGCGCTCTTTACCAACAGTTACAGTTGTGCTAACAAGGAGTTAGCAGTATTTATCAGCATTAAGGCCTGGCAGGAACCTAGCTGATTTCTGTGCCCCAGCAAAAGTGAGATGCAACAGCACAGCTGTGATGACACCATGGGAATGCTGAATCGTTAACAATACTGCATAAAGCAGCAAGAGCTAAGTTTAGACGAGCCCTCAGTTAGCAGGCAGAGAACTGGACATAGCACACAGGTACTTGAGTTGTGCGTGTTTAGTTTTGCTTCTGCCTATAAAGGCATTAACAGGTTTCACTGCCCAGTGCAAGCAGCATTTTATGCCTCTCCTTTTAACAGATACCCAGAGTGATCTCAGAAAAAGCTGCTGGTAGAAGGGTCAGGGCACAGGGCAAGGCCTAATGTATAAGATGTGGATTTCAGTGGCCTGGCACATTGTACTTGGCTTGCCAAACTCCTCTCCCCATCGAGCACTCCTCTGCTGAGGGTCTGCATGGGACCTGCTCTGGGAATGAGTGAAAAGCACAGCAATAACCAACTGGTTAACAAAGACCAAGTCTTGCAGTTGCCGCTGGGGATGACATGGGGTATTTGCAGCCTGAAGCCACTTTTCCAAGCAGAGGGAGAGGGAAGCAGTGGCAGGGGAGACTCTGTGTTTGACTCGGCTCATCTGTTTGTGTGTTCGGGGAAGCGGGCCTCGGTTACAAGGGCAGAATCCCGTTATGCAGCTGGGGTGTCTCAATCAGACACTGGGAGTTAGATTTTTCTCAAGCCGAGGCAACTCCTCTCAATTGCCTCCGCTTTTTTCAGCTGGTCCCATGGATAAACCTGCAGCACTCTACAGGGCTAAATGACTCCGGGCTCCAGCACAAACAGCCTTCCAGCACAGCCCTAGAGGACCAGAGACCAGAACTCCCAGTGCCTGGCAGGGCCAGGGACTACCAAGAAAGCCAAGTTATCAGCCCTTTCATGTCAGCCTCTGTAATGGTCAGCGATTGGGGTGGATGGGTGGGGAATATCGGTGATTTGTACAAACAGTCTGCAACCATGACTACTGCTATGGAAATTAGCCTATATGACAAAGATTTGGCTGCGCCCCACTGCTCTCAGCAAAGGACGATGCTTAGGTCAGGACCAGGGAACTGGGGTCCCGCTCACAATCCGATGGGTCAGAACTGGGACCCCAAGGAGGTTGCAGCCAAGGGAGACTCTTCTCAGGTTGTCTGCTAGGGGCTCTGTGCTGGGTATGGAAGGGTTATTTGTTTCTGGAGATGTGATCTCTGAACAGGAAAACTGTCTGAGCCGCCCTTGGTAAGAAACGGGTATGACAGAATGGAAAACTGAAGAGACAGCCACTTGTCTTGGGAACAAAAATATTTGCACAGTCAAAACAGTTACATGCACGTGTGCCTTCTACTTTCCTTAACCTGGCTTCATGAAAGGCCTGGCAACACCTTGCTAGGGCAGAGGGTTTGTTTCTATCCTTCAGTCAATGCTCTGCCAGCCCCCTGCAGCAAGGTTTTGGATGCACTGGCTATTCTTGGCAACAACCCAGGCTGTTCTGGTAACGCTCTGAACAGCTGCCTTCTGCTGTGTTTACTCCGGGATGCACGTAGTCTGCCTCTGACAGCAATGTCATGCTTTTCGGGTGCACGTCATGCAGAAGCAGAAGCACTGCTAGCAGCACGATACGGTGTGCGTGTGGGAATGCAAAGGTACTTGGATGCTAGTGCTTCTCGCAGTGACTGGCTAGACTCAGCCTCACCGTGAATTCATTTCCAGGAGGCTGGACTACTCTTGGGAAAAGGAACTGCTGTGATGGGGTTGATATTCAGACTCCAGATGTCCCTAGCCAAGGGCAGTTGGGACAAGACGGCTGCCTGACAGCAGCACCGCGTCCGGGGGCGGGGCTGAACTTAGAGAGGTACCGGGTCTAAGCCAGAACGTCAACCCCACTTCCCTTCGCCATCTGCTCTCGCCTGACTGTTGCCATCCCTCTACCTTTATCTTGGTCAGACTTGTTGCCTACCACCTCTCTCCTGCCACTGGGGTCTCTTCCCTGCCTGGCCTCTGAAGAGCATGGCAAGGGCTGCGCCTTTAGCTTCCTGGTCGTGAGCCTTGCACAGAGGAAACGGTCAAGAAATTTCCTCGTGGCTGGCTCTCCCACGCAGAGTAGGAAACAGAAATCAGGGGAGGTGGGTTTGAAGCTGATCCATGATTTAAGATTCTGCTTACAAAGTCCCACTGAATTCAAGCGATACCTCTTCTACCTCACCACCCGCTAAGGAATGTAGCACAAATTGACCCCTTCGTTGCTGCAGATGTTCCTCACCCCACCCACTGTAACCAGAGCAACTAATTCACCGAGCCAATTTAGTAGCTACTGAACCGATGGCCCTCTCCTCCCTGTCATAATTAGATGCAATCTAAACCTCCCCACGGCAAACATGCTGCACTGTAAAATGTAAGGCCTGGATGCTGGAATGAGCCAGAGACATTTGACACTAACAGGCTGTGCATGGTAAGTGTGCAGGCTGCACGCCCGTGGTGGGCACTGCAGAAGCATTTTGCAAGCTGCTGTCTCACAGTGCAGGCTGCCTAGACCTGTCCAGCTCTGTGCAGATACCACGGGCTATGAACAGCACATGGGGCACGTGGCCAAACACGAGCCCCGACAGCATGTCAGTGGGGAGATGGAGGCTGCACACGCTGCAGTCGCATGCGTCACTCCTGACTGCCCTTGCGTGAGATGCCAGCCTAGCTCCAAGCTGGGGGTCCAGCTTTCTAGCTGTACTTTGCTTTAATGAGATGCTGAATAATGAATTGAGGGCTACAGGCCACATTTGCTCTTAAATAATTGAAGCCCCACGTAGTCCAACGTCCTGCTACTTGTGCTCCTCGTTTGGAATCAGTCTCGAATTAATCCCCGCGTCCTGAACCTCGGCACGTTGGCACTGCATCTGCCTGGGTCTTTAAATAGCCCAGCTGCGGTCGTGCAGAATGGCACAGCAGCGCTTCTACGTGCTGGGGGATACAGGCCAGAGCCAAGCAGTGGTACTTGGGAACCAGAGGGCTAGGATTCAAGTACGCTGTACAATCAGGAGAGGAGGGAAAACTTTTGGGGTGCTCTTACCCAGTTGGAGTATGTATTTTGGGGCGCTTAACAACATAACCTTGGGTATCAGCTATGGCTTCTGGCTGGGTCCCTCTGCCGGGGGGGTAGGCATAATTGAGATGTGCTGGAGCCTTAGTGGGATTTCTTATCTAGGACCCCTTTTCCCCCCTGCCCAGGGGAAAGCCTCATACACTGAAATCAGTAGTAAAGGAGTGTAGATCCCCTGGGAGAGTCCCGTCATCTTTCTGAAAGGTCTCCAGACTCGGATAAAACTTGTTGCAGCCAGGGAGGGGAAGTGGCGGGACAGATGCGTTCTCCTGCTTGGAAGCACTCGAGGTGCAGCTTTGAGCAAGATTTCTAGCAGGCACAATAAGAGCTGTCACCAGTTTACGGGGTCTCTTGCAGGAATGGACTCTGTACTTGCAGGGCTTCGGACCATGCTTTGGACACCCATTAGCAGCACAGAGTTGGCTCTGGTGCTTCATGGTGCATGGCAGGAAAAGGAATCTCTGCTTACGCAAGCTATGAAACATTCCCCCGTCCTGTCCCCCACTGCTGGGCAGAGGGTCTCAGATAGGGTACCCCAGTACTTTTGGGGAGGCCCTTATACAAGGAGTGGGTGAAACTTCCCAGGAAGAAGGGACTTCTATAGGAGCAGCCAAAAGGTACCTTTCCGAGTCCCTTGTGAGCCAAAGGGAGCTGGTCCTACTTGATGGGGGACAGGCAGTTACAGGGCTGTATGGACTTAGTGGGGTGGGATTATGTCTGTGGAAGAGGGACTCTACCAGACAAGTGGGGCCAGCTCCGGTTTCTGTACGAGCGTGCCAATTTACTTGTATACAGGTCCTGTTCTATTTCAGTTTTCTACCAGATGCAATGGACTGGCTCTGCTTGGGGCTAGCAGGATGCACAGAGGGTTATGCAAAGGCCTGGAACTTCAGGGAGACACATGGAGAGCAGTCTGATCCAGGGTGCAAGGGAAATGGCAGGCCCACAGCCACGGGGGTGCTCACTGGTACAAAGCTCTACCTGGCTCAGGCTGCAGCCTCAAGGCCATTTAGGGATGCTAGCATCTATGGAGGGGGTCCTTAATTTGTTTTAATTGAGGGTACATAAAAAAGCACAGGCTCCAAAAGGTGCATGGAGCCCTGCAGCATCCCAGGAAGGCTGCCCTCAAGGAAAGCATGCTGGCTTTGCTCGAGGCAGGTGATGGGACCCTGGGGCAACATGGGGAGTCCTTGAACAGTATCAGCCCTGCCTTGCCAAGGCATGGGATCTGCAAGGCTGTGTGTATGGGGGAAGCCTGCAGCCAAGGGGGACAGGCATTTTCAGAGAGACTCCTTCCAGGTAGGGTGCTTTTGTTTGGGGGAAGGAGAAGGGAGGGTCTTGAGGAAGCATGGGGATTTTGGGAGGCACTCAGGGGTGGGGGTAGAAGGAAAGCAGCACAGAAGTGTCCCAAGGCTGTGCCTCCCTTCTGAGAGTGCACTGGTGTGGGTCTCAGGACCACAGGGGCACCCTATGACAGAGTCTACAGGTGCATTGGGGGGGTGGGGGGGGGGGGGGGGGCAGTATTTTTTTTTGAGGGAGGTCTTCAAAAAGATGCAGGGAGAGAGAGCTCTGCTAGCTGTGTGCCCTGAAGAGAGAGCAGGGGGGGACGCCGGTCCCCCACCCA